AGGTAGAAGGTACCTCATTTACACACGAGAAAATGAAGGGCCCATGACATGAAGTCCCATTGCTAACTCAGGTTGGATCTTGGACTGCATGTCTGGCCCTGCCATGCTTGTTTCCATTGATGGCAGTGCCTTCGGGGCCAGCCTCATAGTGCTTAAGTGACCACCTACTGGACTGCCCTGGAGTTTAGGGCTGCTTCCGCCTCCCCCACACAATCCCCTGTACCACCTGAGATTTTCCCATCTCTTGGACGGGATTTGAGAGATCCATTTGGATACGTATTCTTGGATTTATAATCATGTGTACTTGACAAATGGAAGCCTTTTGACATCCCGAAAGGAAAGAGAGAGGAAGGAGAACACGGATTACCTACGCTTGTTTCCCTTTCTAACGTTCCGCCTCTTGTAAGTTCTTCTTGGTGTATAACTGAAATGAAAATCTGCCATACCGTGCAGTTTACTGGCAAAGGGAAAGAGCCCCGGCTAGACATTCTGTGTGCAGACTTAATTCCGAGGATTTCAGAGCTCCCGACGAGCAGGGGAAGCCCCTGAGCCTTCCTTCATTCCTACTCCCTCATGCTATCTTTACAGGGCATAGGAGAAGTAATTTAACTTGCAGCTTAAGCAAAGGCTGTGGGAGGCCCCTGAGCTCAGCTTGAAGAGAAAGGGGATATTTTTGCCTTCTAGAGGAAGAAAGCTTATTTTCCCAAAGCACCCCTACCCCCTCCTCCTTCTGTGCAGATGAGCTTAATTTTCTTCCCCTCCTACTGAAGGTGGATCAAAGCCAAGCTACATATTCAGTGGGGAGCTAGGGAGGGAAGCTGAGTGAGGGGGCGAGGGGGCGAGAGGGCAGAAGCAGAGCTTCTCTCATGGAAAGGAAGTAATTAATTTGAAGAGAGAGCTAAGATAGGGAAGCCCTTGGTGATAGAATGTCAACCCCCAAATGCAGGTGGTTAAAAATTAAGTCAGGGCTGGATAATTTTTTTAATTAATTCATTCAACAAATATTTATTGAGCACATATTATGCACGGGCAGGAACCTCAAGCGGGTATCAAGAGAGGGCCCAAGAAACTGAATTAGGGACAGGGAGAGGATGCGATCTGAAAACAGGCCTCCTGTCACCAGATAAATCATTTGCCAAAGTCCCAGGGAATAGCTGAATATACTGACCTTCTGGATTTAAGATGAAGCTGTTTAAATATGAGCAGCGGTTGACCCCAGTTAAATTTTACCAGCCCGTCTCATTATGGTTAAATAATAATGCTGTTCGTTTTTTTTTCCATTGGCTGATCACATTATTCCTGATCAATTCTGTGCTCAATCCAAAATATTAGATTAGCCCCTTCCTTTCAGGGTCTGTTGTGACATCACAGAATTGCCATGGCAACAGACTGTGATGTCAGCAGACTGCCTGGTGCTGCTAAAAAGAACCATGTTGGTCAAAAACAGAATCTGTCATGTGAAGACAAAATGGAATAATATAGAAAGCCAGAGGACCTGAAATGTGATATCAAAAAGAACATCTTGGCAGGACAAGATAGCAGTGGGTCTGGAGCCTCCTTTGCTAGAACTCTTTACAGAAAAGCAAAGAACTTAATGAGGATTGATTGGAGAACAGTCTTGCCTAGAAGCAGGGGGATGGCAGCGGTGACCTTCGGAAGGCCCTTGCAGTCCAAGGATCCTAAGACATGAAGGACATTAGGAAAGGGGAGCTCTGACCATCTTTAGCCGCTGGAGAATTCAGGGGAATTAACATCGATGCAAACCTCCTTGCTGCTGAGCAGATCTGTCAGTCACCAGCTGGAATGCATCATCTCGTGTCTGGGAAGATTTTCAGCCGTAAACACACGATGACCCCCTCTCAAGCCCCATTTGCCGCCCTCTTCCTCACAAGCCTTGGGAGGAAGCTCTCCTATAATATTGCCTGAGCAGCCTCATCCTAGCCACCAGCTCTGGTTCCATAACGTCCACGCCCATCTGGTCGACTTGCTACACACGGAGGGAAAGCAGCCCAGTGCTGTCGGAGAGGAGCATGTCAGGGACAGGGGCAGAGGAGCTTCATTCATTATGCTCCCATCCACACAGAAGTCTGGGCAGGCTGACAGAAGAGAAGGAGACCTGCTCAATTAATCTCAGCTTCTCAGCAGCGGCAGCAATAACAGCAGATGAATCTGGAGCTTCATTTAACCCTTATGCCCACAGGATCTGAAGGATCTCTGAGAAGCAAGTTGATTTTCAGCTCAGGAGCCTGTGTTGTGGGTTGGGAATTGGGGAGGCAGGAGGACTGTCTCCCTGCAAGTCGGGCTGGCATGAGTTTCTGCCGTGCAGATGGGAACACAGCCCCAGACTCCTTCGCCCGCCCAGCCACTCTGCGTCCTTAGCTCAGTGAGGTCGGACTACCTGGGAGTGCTACACCTGCTCTGTGTATGCCTGTCTCTCCATTTCAGCATTTTCTCCTTGGGAAGCTGCACGGGGAGGATATCATTCCCTCCTTGTTTATTCTGCCTCCAGTCCTCTGACCAGTAGCATTCTGGCCGAATCCCAGGAAGTCACAGGCCTACTAGGGCACCTGGACGACCCCTACCACCACCCAAGGAGAGTGCCCTCCTGGTTCTCCAGGGCCAGAGCCGGGAGGAGGGGGAACTGCTGGAGTCTCTGCCACCGATCCCTCTACATCTCTGTCACAGCCTTACGAGTTGGACTGGAGGACTTACTTCTCAGAGGCATGGTAGGAGCCGGGTGGTCGGCGGGTCCTCTGAGGCTGCCAACCTGGGGACAGAGCTTCCAAAAAGATGTTGAAGTTTCGGGCTGATCGACGGGTCAGGTAGGGATTTCTTCCACGGATCATGAGCCAAGTTAAGTCAGAGCAAGCTGAGACGGCAGCTCATCCTGCTTGGATCCAGGGGCTTCAGAATGAGGGGTCTGCTTGAGATGACCTGGAGAAGGAAGCACAGTTAGGTCAATGGTTGCTGCATTGCAGTGCTCGTGAAGGGGAAGCTATTTTGAAATTGGTAGTGCTGGGATAGAATGAGGACGTCATTTGTAGGGGTTGCTGGGTAGGAAAGTCTGGGGCAGGGAGAGATGTGCCATTCCCTAGAAGTCTTGTGATGGTTGGCAGCAGACTGTGTGTGTGTTTCCGCGTGTGTGTGTGTGTGTGTGTGTGTGTGTGTGTGTGTGTGTCTGTGCCAATGCCTGCAGGGAAGATTTCAGCAGTTACTGTCGGGAGCATGCAGAGCAGAAGGAGACTGGAGGGTTGGGGCAGGGGGCAGGTGCCCTGCACCACTAGGAAAAAGCAGACAACTTGACACCTCACAGGACACCTTAGTTGCCACAAACTGCTTGCCCGCCCAGGCCACCAGGGGGGACAGATTCAGGGGCAGACAAGGGTAACCGGAGACAGCTACTCTTCCTTGCAAAGACTCCCTGTGATGAAGTTGGGGAGCATGTTCTCGTTGGACCTGGGAGGGAGGTGGGAATAAAGTTTGGGAAGTAGGGAGTGGCCGATCAATGTGCTAGACTCAGAACCCAGGCCTGGTGGACACGTGCACGATTTTGGGTCCTGGCTGGCAAGCCTGGGCTGCAAAGCCCAGATTTCCACATGGACTGCAGGCACTGCCTGCTGTGCTTTTATCTTCTGGTATGTCTTTGGATTAGATCTGAGCATGATGGCTTTGGAAGCTGAAAAAGCACTCTTTGATATTATCTTTAGCTTTAGCAGACTGCCCTAGGGCTAGGACGTGTTCTGGGCTATTGAAAGGGGGTCCCCAAAAGGTTATTTTCCTTCTCTGATGCAACTGAAGGCACTAAGCTAAGATTTCCTTCCTCTGCTGCTGCCTGACCTGCCACTTGTCAAGCAGAGCCAGCCCTCTGCTGTGGGTGTGCTTGAGTGGCCCAGTCTCCGTGGCCTCTGTCCTAGTGCCTGCTCCTTACAGTAGACTGGCACCGACTCTGGGTTCTCTCTCAAGAGGGATGGGTGAAGACGACTTTAACTCATCGAGTCTCCCCACTGGCTGGATGGTCAAATCTCCACTGCTACATTCTTGCCAAGTAGTTGCTGCCTACAGAATTGATCTCAGTGGTTGCCATTGTGGTTTAGACCCCCTGCATCAGCTCCTCCGAGTTCTATCTGCTGCCTTCCTCCCTATCTCCCCTGAGAGCCTCCTGGGAACTGTCCTGACACTCAGTCAGCTGGAGGAGCCACAGCAGGGCTTCCCAAGGAGCCTCCATAATGCTGCTCCCCATCTGCCTCTGCACCTATCCCCCTTCCCTCAACCTCTGGTTCCTGCTCCCTTCTGCTTCCTGGCAGGCCATCCTCACAACACCCCACCCCACTCCTGGCCACAGCATCCCTTAATGAGATCGGACTGTTGAGCCAGCACTGACCTTCATGCCCGACAGCCCCTGAGGTCTCAGTGACATCAGGCAGCCCTTAGACAGGAGACCCTGGACTTAGGGGATGAGTGTGTCCAAACCCAAGCTCAAGAATGGAGTTTTTGAGCTCTCATTTTCTTTTAAGAAAGAGACAGAGCATAAAGCAGGAGAAGGAGGAGGAGTCCAAGGTCACAAGAAAGTTTTTTCAGCAAATAATAAGGGAGCATTTTTTTTCTGTGGTGCACTGGCAGGCGCCATTCCCGGGAGAGAACCTGCCATGCGCGAGGTCCTGATGTGCTGAGTTGGCTGCTGGAAGCCCTCTTCCCCACCCTTAGGATCACCACTGAGAGAGTTCAGTGTGGCTTATGTCCAGCCTCAGAGGTCTCTAGTAAGTCATTAGCACTGACTAGTGAGAGGTGACCAGGCTTCCTTTCTTCCTTTCCCCACTCCCTGCCCTCAGCCTCATCTGGATGTCAGCCCAGGGGCCTCCCATGGATCCCACTGGAGGACAGAGGCACAAGCTCCTTACAGGGTCACCTGTCCCTGTCACCACCCAGGGTCTATCTACCCATTGGCTTTTGTCTCTGCCTCTTTCATCTTTGCCACAATGTCTCTTTTTTCCCCTCTACAGCCACAATGAAAGACGGAACACATTTCTACACCCAGTGACTGGCCAGGTCCCAGAGGAAAACAAAAAATTTGACTTGAAAATGTAAGTTTGCCCCCTACTTGCCGTTTGGCCTTTCTGTCCTTAACCACAACCATCCCGCTGCCTCCTTGCAGCTGGGAAGCAGTAGGCAAAGGGGAGAGAAGGAAAGCAGAAGGGCTTTGCAGGCACCCACCTCGGTTCTGAGGACTGGAAGTATCTGAGACCCATCTGGCCTGACACCCTCATCCACTTTTCCTAGGGTCTAGCAGAAGCCAGGTTGGTGTACCCTGCAGGTTAAGCTGATGGAATAGAAGACAGGTGTGAGGCTGGCATAGCACTCAGGGGGCCTTTGAGGGAAGCGCTGAGAAAATCTGATATGGTCATGAGAGCCAAATGCTAATTCCTCTCACTGTGGATTCTGGCTCACTGAATGAAAGGAGAAAAAAAGGAGAAGAGGCTAATTAATTCACTCTCATAGGCCACTAGGCTGTTGTGTCTTTTAAAGTAGAGGAAAAGGTTATATGTATTATTTATTTTAAAAGTCCAGGGTCTAGACTTTGAAAATAAATGTTCAGAGCTGGGAACAGGTGGCTTGTGCTTATAACCCCAGCACTTTGGGAGGCTAAGGTGAGAGGATCACTTGAGTCCAGGAGTTTAAGACCAGCCTGGGCAAAAGAGTGAGACCCCATCTCTCTTAAGAAAAAAAAAAAAAAAAAAAAATAGCTGGGCATGGTGGCCCATGCCCGTGGGCCCATCTACTCTGAAGGCTGAGGTGGGAAGATAACTTGAGCCTGTGAGTTCGAGGCTGCAGTGAGTCCTGATTGTGCCACTGCACTACAGCCTGGGTGACAGCAAGACCCTGTCTCAAAAACTAAATAAAATAAATGTCCAATGTCCAAGATCACTGGCATATAATTTCAGAAGGGCTGAAGGAGTGGCTTCGATGACCCCTCACTGGCACTCAGGAGATCTAATTTTGTGCTGATGCTGAAACAGTGGGTGGGAGGGTGTGGAAAAGGGATGGGTGGTTTCCATTGTTTCTTGGCTCTCACCAGTCTCTTTTTTCTGGTCAACTTGAAATCAGATCGGCCTTGGACATGTCCAATAAAACAGGTGGGAAACGTCCGGCTACCACCAACAGTGACACACCCAACCACAACATGGTGTCCGAGGTCCCTCCAGAGCGGCCCAGCGTCCGGGTGAGTCCAGCCCTCCAGGCAGGCTGCTGGGCTGGAAATGTCTTCAGTGCATGTTTAGTGGGCTCTCTGGGAATCCTAGGAAATCAGAGCCTGCCCAGCTATTTCTGCAGGCTCCAAGACTAGGCAAGGTGACCCAGGAAGAGAGTGGAGAGTAGGAAGGGAAGAGGGCTCAGACCAGAAACTTGTAGAAGACCACCATCTAGACCAGGGGTTCTCAACCTCAGCACTGCTCACAGTCAGGGGCTGGATGAGACTGTCCTGTGTGTTGTGGGATGCTGAGCAGCATCCCTGGCCTCTGTCCACTAAATGCCAGTGGCACCTCTTTTCCAGTGGTGACTATCAACAATATCTCCAGACATTCTCAGATGCCCTTGGGGACAAAAATCTCCCCAACCTCATTGAAATGAAGGACATGAAGTGATTGAGAGCTCAGAGAGAGAGAAGGAAGGAAGAGAACCCCAGGAGAAGGAAATCTAGAGAACAATGTTGCAAAGGCTGAAAGTGTCCTCTGGGTTTAGTGGCAATGTGGTCACTGGGGACCCTGACAAGTGCAGTTTGAGTGGCGTGAGAAGAGCCAAAGACAGGCTGGAGAGGTAAAAGGGGAATGGGGGAAGAGGCCTAGGAAGAGCAGAGTGTAGAAACTGCTCTTCTGAGGACCTAGACACCAAATGGTAGTATTTCATCATATAACAGAGCACTCGCCAAAAATTAAAATGAACTGGAGCTATATGTATTAACAAGGATAAATCTTGAAAATATAATGTTGAGTAAAAAGCAAGTGGCAGAATATGAGGAATATGATGTCACTTATGTAAATGTACGGACATGAAAAGCAGTACTACATATTTATAGAAACAGCTGCAGTGGAAGTGCATAATCAAGGATAGGAAGCCTAATTTTGGGTCAGTGCTTGCCTCTAGGGAGGGAGGAAAGGTAATGAGACTGGGGAGGGTTTGAGGAGTTTTTTAGCTCCAGTTGTCTGGTTTTGTTAGGGAACAGCAACTTGAACTGATGATCATCGGATCATTCCCTGCTTTTCTGAAATGCTTGAGATATTTCCAAAAAGTGTTTTTAAAGACACGTGACTGTGAAGGGAAATGGAAGGGCAGGGAATGGAAGCTAGAAGTTGACTCAGGACGGGAGGGAGGTTTCATTCGTTGGTTTTGTTTGGTTTTAAGATGTCAGAGGCATGAGGGGAATGGGCCAGTCGGTAGTAGGTTAAGGAGAAAGAGGACAGGAAGTAAGTTACATTTCTATGGAGACAGAGGGAGTCAGATGCAGAGGTGCTGTTAGACTGGATGAGGAAAAGCCACCTCTTCCTGAAACTGCATTAAAAAAGGGTGTGTGAGGCTGGGGAGTGGGTGTCTAGGAAATTAAAGAGACGCCCACACAATGTGCTCAACTTGTGCAGGAAAGTAGGAGGTAGGGTTTTCTGCTGAGCAGAATGGGGTGGGTGGGGAAGCATCAGGCTGGGGGCTGGGAGAGAAGATATGTGAGACAGGTTTGGGGAACAGGAATGACGGTCAATGAAAAACACATGAAACATTGCCCTATAATTTCAAAGGATCTTCTGGGGCAGTAGAGCGTGATTCTGCGCAACCCCAAGCCTGGCTGTGAGAGCAGGAAAGGCAGGTAGTTGGATTAGCCTGTTTGCCGAAAGCTGTGGCAGACAGATAGGAGGCTAGGAGGTTCAGGAGTTAGTGGGAGGTTGCCGGGAGTGGTAAATTATGGGTGGCAGCTTCTACATCATGGAGAGAGGAGGTAAAATTATGAAAGAGTTGCACTGAGAGAAAAGGGAAGGATTTAGGATTTGCGTATTCTTAGAGTAGTGGTGACTTCTTCCATTAGAAAATCTCAGTCATTATATGTGTATTTTTGTTAGTCATGTTCAGATAAGAATTTTATTTCCCAGTTGTGGGAGTACTTTATAATAAAGCCCACTTTATTCCTTACTTCCTTCTGCAAGCAGTTGCTGAGTGCTCGTTATGGCTGGACACTTTGCTGGCTCTGGCGATAAATGTGAAAAAGACAAAAGTTCCTCCCTGCAAAGAGTTCATGGTGCAATGAGGAGATAGAAAGCTGCACTGTGACAGGTTTTACGCTGGGGTGTCCAGTCTTTTGGTTTCCCTGGACCACAATGGAAGAAGAAAAATTATCTTGGGCCACACATAAAATACACTAACACTAACAATATCTGATGAGCTAAAAAAAACCAAAAAACAAAAAAAGACTCATCATGTTTTAAGAAAGTTTGTTTTGGGCTGCATTCAAAGCCATGCTGGGCTGCGTGTGGCCTGCAGGCCGTGGCTTGGACTGCACAGATGTGCGGAGAGCCGGATGTAGCTAACCGCTCAGGGGGATCGGGGCGTCATGGAGCGAGGGTGTCTGCAGCAGACTTTCAAGGATGAATTGGGATTTGATGGTGGATAAGGGAGGATGGGTCCTACCTCAAATGCCAGGGAGCACACTGCGAAAGACACAGGAGAATGGAGAGAAGCAGAGGCAGGGCCTGTCTGGTAAAGGGGCAGAAGATGGGTGACGGGCCCTGCCAGGTCTCACAGATCTGTCTTCTGTGCTGTGCTGAGGAATCCAACCTCTCTCTTAAGTGCTGGGTGCAAGAGAGAATAAACAGGATGATTTGTGTTTTGGAAAAAAAAACCTTAGTTCCTTGTAGAGGGCGGACAGCAAGAAGTGATGAGGACCTTTAAGACACCAATAGTGGAATCTGAGAGGGAAGAGTGGATTTGAGAACTATTAAGAAGACAGACTCATCAGTCCTGTATACATGATTGTGTAAAGGAAGGGAGGGAACAAGGGACCCATGTAAGACAATGCTGAGTTCTGGGGAGGGGGCTAGGTGGCTCATGGTACCATTCACCAGGATGAGAAATACAGAACAGGCTTGGTTAGAAGGAGAATGAGTTTGGTTTTGCACTTATTTAATCCTGGCTAGACAATCAGGTATAAAATGGGTTGGGCTGGGAGACAGGTCTTGGCTATAGTGTAGGGAGCTTTTCTCATGTTGCTCATAGCTGAAGCAGTGGGTATAGATTAGATAACATGGGCATGATGTAAAAGTGAGAAAATAAAAATAAAATAATAAAAGTGTGGTTGAGGCCCACCTACTTGGAGAGTGGAAGTAGGGGAGATTGAGAAGGAGTGGCCATAGATGGAGGTATTGAAAGGAAAATAGTAGTGTTGTAGAAACCCCGAGAAGTGTTTCAGGAAAGTCAGGAAGGTTGAGATTGCCCAGTGCTGAGTGGTCAAGGACTGCGTGGCCTTAATTCCATAATAGTGCAAGAGCCATTTCAGAAAATAGGTAAAGAAAATTTAGGAGCGATGGAGAGAGAAAGTTGAGACTTGGCCGGGCGCGGTGGCTCACGCCTGTAATTCCAGCACTTTGGGAGGCTGAGGTGGGCAGATCAGGTCAAGAGATGGAGACCATCCTGGACAACATGGTGAAACCCCATCTCTAAAAATAAAAATAAATTAGCCAGGCCTAATGGTATGTGCCTATAGTCCCAGCTACTTGGGAGACTGAGGCAGAATGGCTTGAACCCAGTAGGTAGAGGTTGAGATTGTGCCTCTACACCCCAGCCTGGCGACAGAATGAAAAAAAAATGAAAGTGAAAAAGAAAAAGAAAGTGGAAACTCTTCCCAGGAGCCTAGTACTGACGAGTAAGTGAGGGAAGGTGTTACCTCACAGTGGACAGTGGGCATGGGATTGAAGGGGGAATTTGGATGTGTGTGTGGCAGTGTGAGAGAGAGAGACACTTTCAGATGGACAGACTTCAGTCCATTTGCTAAGGAGAAGACGTCAGTGGAGGAGGAGGCATCACAGACATATTTGAGAGGAGATGCTCGGTGGAGCTTAGTCTCAGAGGACACGGTGGGTCAGAAGTGTCAGCCTTGGAAGGAGGGCAGCACCTCTTCTTTTGACATTGGAGGAGAAGAGGCAAAGATAGTGGTAAGGACAGTCATTTTCTAGGTAAAAGGGTGAGAAATTGAGGGAGTGTGTGTCTAATAGCGTTGAATTTCTCTGTCAAGGAGCAGGTCCACTGTGGGGAGGGCAGAGGCAGGGGAGGTTGGGGGGTGGGGAGGATGGTGAGGGTGTAGAGTGGAGCTGCCGTCTGGGGCTGAGCCCCCTGGAATTGGGACGGCAGCTCTGTGGCAACCTCATCTATACGGCAGTGTGATTTTTGTTTTTTTCTCCAACAGCACCATAATCTGGCTCTGAGTGCAGGGAGAGTAGATCATTTGATGAATTTGGAGTGCTGTATTGAGTTTTAGAGAAAATGAGGTAGGAAGACAATAGACTGGGTTTGTGAGACTCTGGTTGATAGACTCCACCATGGGGCCTAGGCTTTGTGGGGAAGTAGCTAAAACCAGGAGGAGCTGATGGATCCAGAAAAAAGGAGAATAATTGAGGAGCTGGGGACCTCAATGAAGTAGAAAAGCTGATGTTGAGTTAATGGAGTGAGAAAGCCCAAAGGGTGGAATGTTGGGGTCAGAAAGCAGGAATCCTGGAAGTGAAGATAGCAGCAGAGGGGCTTGGGGTGCTGGCAAGATTAAAGCTGTAACCCTGGGAGCGCATGGCTGGAGTGCCGTGGAGACCCTGGGAGCATGTGGCTGGAGTGCCGGTGGAGACCCTGGGAGCGCGTGGCTGGAGTGCAGGTGGAGACCCTGGGAGCGCGTGGCTGGAGTGCATTTGGAAACCCTGGGAGCGCGTGGCTGGAGTGCAGGTGGAGACCCTGGGAGCGCGTGGCTGGAGTGCATTTGGAAACCCTGGGAGCATGCGGCTGGAGTGTAGGTGGAGAGTGCTAGAGATGAGGACATCAAGGCGGGATAAAGTTAGGACATTGATGGGTCCTGCTCCCGAGTAAGGAGATTTTCCGCAGTGATGCAAGACAGAATGAAGAAGACTGACATCAAAACCCTTAGACTCTGAAAGAATGATTGAGAAGCAGACAGTGATGAGAAGGATTAAACAGTGGGACGTCAGGCAGTGATGCTTCTAGAAAGGTGGACTGTTGCCAGAGTGTGGAAGGATGACAGTGGCCATGTGGCCACACAGAGCTAGGAGAACACCTGTCCCTCTTCCCAGCTCCGTGTTACATTGGGTATGAGATGACGCATGGGCCTCTCAGAGGAGGAGGATGCAGGGCATTAACTTCCAGAATGGGGAGGGAGTAAGGAGGTTGGGAGTAGGATAGGCCAGAGGGAAATTAGAAATCTTATTATTTTCACCTTCCCCTCCAAAAAAAAGCTGTGAGACAGGTAAGACTATTGTTTTTTGGAACTATTATTTTGAGCCCTAATTTAGAAATGAGAAAAATTGCCAAAGAAAAATTGCAAAAATTGCCAAAGTCCCTGCCTTTGAGTTAGTAATAGATCTGAGATTCATACCCGGGCTCCTTGGTGTGAGGGCACCCAAGGGTTAACCCCATAGGGATAGCAGCTCTAGCAGGGTGGCTCCCTTGCAGACACAGCAGAAAGGTGAAAGGGAGCAAGGCCAGCTTCTCTCTCTGCCCCCAGGCAACTCGTACAACCCGCAAAGCTGTCGCCTTTGGCAAGCGCTCACACTCCATGAAGCGGAACCCCAGTGCACCCGTCACCAAGGCGGGCTGGCTCTTCAAACAGGTGAGGCCACCCTGCTGTTCTGGCCACCTTAGCCTCCACCTTCTCCTCCTAGAATGAGATTCCTCTGTGCTTATGACAGTCTGTGTGTTTTTTTGGTATGTCGTCCTGCTGTCTCTGTGACTCAGTCTCCTCATAAAGGGCTCAGAGAAACCGAGTATTCTTCCAGAGTCACACAGAAAAATTTGTGTCAAACTTGGGAACCCAGCCTGTTTTCTTAATGGGTAGATGCAATGACCTTGAAACATGCTGGGTCCCCAAGCCCCTGAGAGCAACCCACTAGCTAGCTCCCCAGCAGGTCCCGCTTATTATGGGGGGATAGGTATGTCTCCTGCAAGTCTGGGGTCCACTGATTGGCACCAGACTGGCCTTGCCGCTATCCCTGCCCGCCCTTCCGCTCACTCATTCTGCCTGTCTCTTGCCTCTTTTATCTCCCCAGGGGAGGCACTGAATGACAGAACTGGAAGGTCACAGGCAATAATCTAATGTCAGTTCCTTGCATCTGAGGTCTCTGAGGGTTGCTGCCTTGCATTAACAGCAGAGCCGCAGCTAGGGCCAGGATGTCTTTATAATTGATGCGGTGCCCTTTTCCCTGCACCCCACCCCCTGTTCCCCGTCCAGCTTGCAGCCCTCACATCTGCCTCTCCCTGTCTGCTGTCCTGCAGGCCAGCTCCGGGGTTAAGCAGTGGAACAAGCGCTGGTTCGTCCTGGTGGATCGCTGCCTCTTCTACTATAAAGGTGAGCTTGGCCCTCGGACCGGCAGGAAGCCAGGACCCACCACTCTTTCTCATTCTGCCATACCTCTGAGCTCGGCTTTGGATGGGCACCAGCAGGGCAGATGTCCCCACTGTGGTCCCGGCACCAGTGGCAGCAGGATAGAAACAAAGCTCACTTGTTCGCTCACACACTCTCACTCATTCAGTTCACATTCAACAATGCTTGCTAGGTTTCAGGCAGTGTGCCAGCAGTACACTGGGTGAACAAGGTGGTCATATGGGTGGCGAAGTCCTGGAGGAGTGGGGCGAGAGGACAAGGACAAAGAGGAGGAGGTCACCAGTCACGACTAGTAGGTCACCTATTAATTGGAGCTCGTGTGTGTGTGGCTCTTCCTCCTGTCCCGCTGGAATGCACAGTCCCATCTGTGAAGGCAGGAATTTTTCTCAGTGTTCATCGCTGCTGTATCCACAGCACCTAAGCCACTATGTGGCATTTAGTCAGTGCTCAGTCAATACTGACTGAACATAATATCTCCACTTTTCACCTTCTCTGCCCACCCCAATACCCTTTACCTCTCCCTACTCTCTGTTTTTAAAAGTTGTGCCAACGCAGGCTAAGGGTGCCAGCAAGCATTGATGTCAGTGATGGTGGCACCATGCAGATGCAGGGGACGAAACAGGTGTGAGGGATGAGAGGAGGGAGGGCACAATTGTTATGAAGCAGGAGAGGCTGTTTCCTTCACTTCCTTGACCCAGGAGGGCACAGCCCTGATTTCCAGGCCTCCTGAGAGCAATTCAGTGAATCATTAACTTCAGCAAACAAAGGTTGTACCCAGTGACCCTATAGAGCACTGCTATCCCTGGTTGCTGTACTGCAGCCACCTGAACCCCAAGGAGAGAAATCAGGAAGGGGCTGAGCATACACAGTGCAGACCCAGAGAAAAGCCCAAGACTGAGGGAGGAGACTCTGCCCAGGTCCAGGACCCAGGTGCTGAGCCTTCAGGATAGGGGGCCACACTGGAGCCAGAGTGGGAAAGAAACTGGGAGGAAAGTGGGGGTCTCTGCAGACGAGAGTGTTTGGGAAGCAGTAGGGGTAGAAACTCCGAGGGCTGAGAACCCAGAGGCTCAGGAGGTGTTTGGTCTGAGTCTTTACCAAAATGGGGGTCACTGTTCACCCCATTTAGGGGACTCAGGACTCCCCTAAATGCTGGCCTGGACTCCGCCAGGCAGGGGCTCCGTCTCTGGAGGATGACATCCTCAGGTCTCCTGAAGGCAGCCCTGGGGTTTGCACCTAAGTGCCTCCTCCTACTTTTTTTTATCCCCTCCTCCAGATACCATGCTGGGGTCTGGACAGAGAAGCTGAACTGTGGGCCAAGTATCATGTAGATGTGATGAGGAAGAGAAGAAGCAGGGCTTGAGGAGCTTATAACCCTACAGAGATTTCTTCTGAACCCTAGCGGAAGGCCTTTCAGCGTCCCCAGCCTGGGGGGCAAATAGTGATCCCAGCGAGGTGGGGAGGGTCTTGCCATGGTCTCATAGTTGTCCCCACTCCTGTCCCACAGAGCACTCCCACGATTTCTTGCCTCCTACTGACAGCTGGAGGCCCAACTGGCCAATTCATCAGGCTCCTTTGGAGATTCGGGATGAATTACGTAATAGTGGGACTGTTAGCCAGATCCCAAGGAGAAGAGGGCCAGAGCACTCAATGCAGGGGTGCCTTTTCCTGTGGAGACATAGAACCTCGGCAGGGATCTGCAGCAGGAGAGGGCAGAGCAGGCTCTGTGTGCCAGGGAGAACCTTAGAAAGAGTTTCCTAGAGGCGCCAGAGAGCAGAAGGTGGGACAGTCCCTCTACCATGCTCTGTCGAACCACCTTGTTACATATGTCACTGCGGGGATGGTCTCGTTTAGTGAGGCAGGATAGATAGGATAGTGGTCAACAATGTTAGCTTGGGAGTTGACTTTTTGAGTTTGAAGACCAATTTTACCACTTGCTGCTGAAGTAACCTTGGATAAATCCTCTAACCTCTGTGTCTCCTTCCTTACTTTACTATTAGTATGAAGGTACTAATAGTACCTCTTCATGGGTTTGTTGGGAGGATTAAATCCATTAAGACATCTCATTCAGAACAGTGCCTGAACAGTTCCAAAGTATCTGCTGTTATTTACGTGTTGATTTCGGCACTAGAATGTGAATTCCCTTAGGGTAGGCACTCCCTCTCTTGTATTCACCTCTGTAGTCCCAGTGTCTGGAAAAGCATCTACAGGGCCATCACGCTCCCTAACTCCAGGGAGTGTCCTCTCAGAGCGTGTGTGGTGGCTCCGTGCCTGACAAATAGGAGGTGAACAACAAATATGTATTGATATTGATCACGGAGGGGCAACAACTCCTCCCAGCCCACGCACACACCTTTCTTGTGCCTCCCTCTCTGACAGATGAGAAGGAAGAGAGCATCCTGGGCAGCATCCCCCTCCTGAGCTTCCGGGTAGCCGCAGTGCAGCCCTCTGACAACATCAGCCGGAAACACACGTTTAAGGTCAGTTGGCCTTCCCCTCCCAGGCCAGGTGAGGGAGGGAGGCCTGCTCTTCTAGAACCTATGGGAATGGAGAAGGGTCAAGAGCCATTGCCCTAAGGAATCCCAGGTGTTGGTGGTGATAGTGGTGGTGGGGGTGGGAGGGGGAGTAGCAATGGTCGGTAGACTCAGCGCAGTCTCTTGTAAGGCAAAGACAAGGCTATACTGGGACCTTCCTCCTCTCTTGGGGGCCTGGCGGACAATTCTCCCCAGAGTGGGCCAGTAGAGATGTGTTTCAGCAGCACCACAACTGTCACTGGGGCAGGAATAGTTATGTCCTGAGTCCTTGGACCTTTTGCCCAGTGCCTGCCCCTGGGAAATTCCTCTGGGCAGAGGCAGGAGCGGGGGCTGATGGGGTTCTGAGATCTTTTCTGGAAAGGCTTCCTCCCCACCGTGGTTTCAGGGAACTGGACCTACCCACAAGTCAAACATACTCAAATTTCAATCTTTAGAGATTATTAGAAGTTGAGTTTTATTCCACTCAAGAGCTGCAAACCTTATGAAGAAACCATTTGAGAGAACCAGCGCACAGGAAAATAGGACTTTCCTGCCCGCTCCGTGTCACTGCCTGGAACCCCAGAGCCACCCGCTAAAGATGTGCCTGCAGCTGGCTCATCCTAGGCCAGTGCTTTTCCACATTTAAAAATTCATGACCCATCAAAAACCATAAAAATCTCATGCCCTTTTGTATTTTATGATGCAAAAATCATAGGTTCCTTTTCATTTTCCAAATATAACATTATAATATCAACGACACATTTTCTTGGTACAAAGCCCTCTCTCCCCCAATTGAGAATTGCTGTCCAAGACCCTTCAAAGCTATGATGTTAGACGACATGACCTGCAGGTCACTCCTTGAGCTTCTAGAGCCTTAGAGACTCTATCCCTTCCTGTCCTTCAGGCTCCAGTCATCTGGCCACAGAAAAGAGCTGGGCAGCAGGCACAGGGGCCGCTACAGGGAGCAAGGAAGGACTTACTTGGCACGTAATTAGTTTCCAGCCTCCCGGGGTCTTGTATGCCAGAGGTGTGAGGAGAATGAACAATTAATAAAACTCTGACTCCAGGGAGCCAGTTCTAGCTGGGGAAATAGGAACAGGCTGTTTAACCAACAACAAGGAGTCCTGTTATACACAGACACACATACACACCACCCACACACACAATCAAACAGCCTGTCTCACCCTCCCCACCAGACCTGTGCAGAGACACAGACATGCTCCAGCTTGGATCTCTGCCTGCAGCAGGCGTGAGATAAACCTTCCCGAGTGACTGACACACTCCTCCATCACAGACCCCAGATACCACCTCTCTGCCCACCAGCTCCTCACCTCCTTCCCCTTCACTGAGCTGCCTCTTTAAAAACTGACTCCGAGGGCTGTGCTCAGTGGCCCACAGAGGGTTCTGGTTGTGGCTATTCAGTGGCCTTCACCAGGGAAGGGAGGGGAGCTGAGACAGATGGGAGGCTTGTCCTGCTGTGGCCACCGAGTGAAACTCTTGGATGGCTAAGAATGAGCCAGGAACTGTTCTTGCCCAGGCTACCACTGAATGCCTTAACCTCTTTCTAACTCGGCCCCACAGAGGCTCCGGGGGCTTTGCCCCTCTGGGACATCGCCCTCAATTCCCTGGCTCCCTTTCATAGTTCCAGGCCAGAGCCCCTGCCCACTCCCCATCAATGGCCCTGTCTTTTCCCAGGCCCCCTGCTTTCCTCTGTCACAGCACTTGTCCCTGTGCCTCTGCTCTCTCCTTGTTTCCCGTGGCATGTTTTGTCCCCCAGTGTGACTGTCAGCTCTTCAAGTGCAAGAGCCCGTCTTTGCCTTCCTTGTGACTGGTGCCCCCAGTGAGTTCCTCACACACAGGCCTCTCCCTGGATGCTCACTGAATCAATGAATTCATTTACTGCCCACTCCCACCCGCCCAAGACACACCCACAAGCCCTGCCTATGTGTCTCCTCTTTGCAATAACTCTGTGTTCTCCACCCAGAGGATTTGCTTGGGCCCCTGGTCTCCCTACCTTCATCAGTTGCAAGTCCCAGCTGCCTTCTTACGGCCTCACTGGCTTTTTGACAACACCTCCCCTGCCCTCTCCCACACCTGCCCTGAGCTCCACGCACAAGCTAAGCCCTCTGCCGGAGAGTGGGGACCAGAGGAAGGAGGCCCATCCCGGCTCCTGTTAGAAAGAAATTGAGGGCTGGGAACAGGTGGAGGTGAGGTGGGATCAGCTGCAGCTGAGGAACCTTGTGAGCATTTGGAGGGTGTGGGTTTGATGTGGCTGCTCAGGAGAGCTCTAGGGTATCTCAACCCCTAAAGACTCAGGATTTAGGGCTCAAGGGGTCAGAGGCTGGAGTGAGGCTCACACTTGAGACTCTGAGTCACTACTAGATGTCCCCTGTCGAGTGGGCTAATCCAGGCTACCGAGGATCTCACTGGGGAGTATGCTGAGATCCCAGAAAGAATTTAGTCCTGTGGCCTCTTTTCCTTGTAGCCTAAAAACTTCGAGTTTCACCAGGCAGACCCTGTTCCCATGAGATAGATGCATCAGTGAAGGCCAGAGCAAAACCACAACTCGTCTGCAGTTACAGAGCTGGTCGGGAGCAGAGCCAGGCTTAGCACTGCGATTCCCTGACTCACTCTCCACACCACCAGCCCAAATTTCCCTGGTGCAAGCTCTCTACACCCCACCCCTTGGTAGGCGAAACTGGGAATTGCTGGGTGCTGCTGTTCCCAGTGGGGATGCTGATTAGAAGGGGACAATCTGAAAATCCCCCCTTCCCTGTGCTCCTCACCGTTTCCTGCTGCGTCGTCTTCTGTCTCTCCCTCTGGTGTTCGGTTGACCTGTTCTCTGCTTCTCCTTCTGACCGCGTGAGGACCCCTCCTCTGGACAGGAGCTCTCTTCTGGGTTCCCGCCCGCAGTGCCTGCTCACAGTCGCCAACTAGGTAGTGTGCTCCATCTGTATGCCAGTGCCTGCCTTTGCATGCCCGCGGAGAGTGGCTTGGCTGTCTCTCCACGTGGAAGAGACTAGCTTCTCAGCAGTGAAGCTGGGGCTAAGATTGGCGTGTGCTCAGGGGGTCTTCTCTCCCAGACATGGGGTCATTGCCTTTGAAATCAAACATGGCATTTGCTGGGAAAGTGGGTGTGATCATTGTCCCTCCTGCTTTAATCACCCCAGGTGGGGCAGGTAGGCTGACCCAGTTAATGGGCTGCCTAATGGTGCCCAGAGAGCCAGCCAAGGTGGATACCTGGGTACCAGTTGGAGCCCCCGGGGAGGCTGCAAGCTGCCCTTCTCACCTTGCTCCTGAGTTCCGCATGGGGAAGAGCCCAGGTGCCGGGAATGGCCCAACTGACTGCCCGTTCTGTGGGCGTCTGTGTCTTCTCCCGACAGGTTACTGTGTGCTGGGTGGATGAGGCCGAGGCCAGCTCCACGCGCTGCCTCTCCCCACAGGCTGAGCATGCCGGCGTCCGCACCTACTTCTTCAGTGCCGAGAGCCCTGAGGAGCAAGAGGCCTGGATCCAGGCCATGGGGGAGGCTGCTCGAGTACAGATCCCTCCAGCCCAGAAGTCTGTGCCCCAAGCTCTGCGGCACAGGTGAGTGCCAGGGAACTGAGAGTGGGTTGCAGAAAGAATAAAGAGGAGAGTGGAAGACACTCCCAGCTCTGGGCCATTGCTAATCTCACTGTGCCTGCCTGAAGCCCTGGAGAGGGTGTGAGCCACCACCTTGCATCCAGGTGGGAGGCCTGGCTGAGTGATTTCAGAGCCTGAAGTCTCTCTTCCCCTAGCCAGCTCCTCCTCCTCTGTCTGAGCTGGAGGAGGCCAAGAGGGAAGCCAGGTTCCATTGGGGCCTGGCCAAGAGCCAGAGGTCAGGGACATTTGCACGTTTTTCTCAGCTGTATGTGTTAAGCACACTATCTTTGGAGGAAATTAAACTCAGGTTTGAATCACAGCTTGTCCACTAGGCTGCAGCGTGACCTCAGTGTAAGGGACTTACCCTCACTGAATCCAAGGTTCCTCTGCTCAAAACCCAGCAAATACAACTCTACCTCATAGAGTTGTCATGAGCCCTACACAGAGTGCGTGTAAAACACTTGACATGCAATAAACTCTTAGCATATGGCTGCTCCCATCACCCACCATCACCCACGGTCTCAGCGTCTGTCTCTCCCTTAGCTGGGTGTGGAGTCTTGAGTTAGGTGCTAACGGGGATCCAGGAGAAAGGGGTTTCCCAGTGTAGACTCCAAGTCCATTCACAGCTTAGAAATGTTTACCAAGCAATATTTCAACAAGGATGCTTGAATGGGTGGAGTTTGGGAAGCTGAAGGGGGAAATCCGTCACAAGTTTCCATCTTCGCTTCAACAAAGCGGCGTACTTCCAGGAGTTCATTTATTCGTTTCACAAATACTTACTGTAAATATGAATGTGTAAGGTACTGTAGTGGGTGCTAGGAACACAGGGGAAGAAAGTCTGCCACGTTCCTACCCTTGTGGGGCCTGTATTCTCACGGAAAGTCAGTCCTGGAAGAAATGTGTTTTGAAGAAGGGAGCTAGCGTATTTATGGGCTTGTGAGTTTGGTGAAAGCAGCAATTTCTGCTCCTGGCGCCTGCCATAAATATCTCACAGAAGTTCTAGGAGGGGAGATGTCATTATGCCCATTCTGCTGATGAGAAGGCCGAGACTCATGGCAGTTAAATAACTTTCTGTAGGAAAGAGAGCTGCCCCATAACAAGCCTTTGCACAGGGGTATCGAGGACAGTTACTGATGTGAGTGCAAACCCAATTTGGGAGCTGGATCAGGGACAGACTAAAGAGAAGACCAGACTGGGTGAGGTTGGCCATAGCTCGAAGGCTGGGCGAAAGCAGGCTGACACAGGGTAGTGGAGAACAGCCTGCAGAGAGGACCTGGGGAGCAGAGTTAACACAGCAGGTGTGGGCAGAGGTGGGTTAGGTTATACAATAATTGCCCAGGCTGGAGCGAGAAGATGAAGCAGTGGGACTTCGGAAGCAGAACTGGAATTGACAGAATCCTGGTTCCATGGCCACCTCCCCTCCCATCCTTCCCATTCCTTTTTCCTTCCCAGTCCGGCACCCCCCACCCCCGCCATGCTGGGCTGGAGTCACTGACAGCATCTCCCTTGACATCCTGCAGCCATGAGAAGCCAGACTCGGAGAACATCCCGCCCAGCAAGCACCACCACCAGCCGCCCCACAACAGCCTCCCCAAGCCTGAGCCAGAGGCCAAGACTCGAGGGGAGGGTGATGGCCGAGGCTGCGAGAAGGCAGAGAGAAGGCCTGAGAGGCCCGAAGTCAAGAAAGAGCCTCTGGTGAAAGCCAACGGCCTCCCAGCTGGACCGGAGCCAGCCTCAGAGCCGGGCAGCCCTTACCCCGAGGGCCCAAGGGTACCAGGGGGTGGGGAACAGCCTGCCCAGCCCAATGGCTGGCAGTACCACTCCCCGAGCCGGCCAGGGAGCACAGCTTTCCCGCCTCAGGACGGAGAGACTGGGGGACACCGGCGGAGCTTCCCACCACGCACCAACACTGACAAAATTGCCCAGCGCAAGAGTTCCATGAACCAGCTTCAGCAGTGGGTGAACCTGCGCCGCGGGGTACCCCCGCCCGAAGACCTTCGGAGGTGAGGCCTGGCGGGGCCCGGGATGGGGCTGATATGGTGTTATGGCTAGAGTGTGGGGGTGGGGTCATAGCCCACAGGGCCTCCCTTGTTGAAAACCTCTGGAAGCCAGGCTGAGTTGGGAGCAAAGCCCATGCCTCCCAGATTGCCTGAATCCTTCCTGCCCCATGGCTCCACCATTAGAATCTGGCTGCTGTCCCTGATTCTTGGTTTCTCCATCTACTTTATTCAGAAGAAAAGACAGAGTGCCCCAACACCTCTCCATGGTGTGCTGGGGAGCCCAGAACACAGCAGGCTTCAGGAGGGGTCCTGAAGTTGTTACAGTCAGACATCCATCCAAGCTACGGGCCCTCCTCCAACATCCTCTCCTCCAGGGTTCCACCCACTTGAGACTCACTCACTGCCAGACCAACCTACTCCATTTTTGTGTTTGTTTTATTTTGAGATGGAGTCTTGCTGTATTGCCCAGTCTGGAGTGCAGTGGCACTATCTTGGCTCACTGCAACCTCCGCCTCCTGGGCTCAAGCGATTCTCCTGCCTCAGCCTCCTGAGTAGCTGGGATTACAGGGGCGAGCCACTGCACCTGGCTGATTTTTGTACTAAAAGTAGCGATGGGGTTTCACCATGTTGGCCAGGCTGATCTCAAACTCCTGACCTCAGGTGATCCACCCACCTTGGCCTCCCAAAGTGCTGTGATTATAGGTGTGAGCCACCACTCCCGGCCTCATTTCTGAACAGCTCTAATTGTTTTAAAGCCATGATTTATACAAAGTTGAAAGAAAGAAAAGAAAGAAAGAGAGAAAGAGAAAAAAAGTAGCTCATTAGTCCCAACACGGCCCTCTATGACCATTTACTCCTTTGTCCAATGACTGGCTTTGAAATATTTGGGGACATTTATTGGGTCCAATTGTGTCCATCAGGGCAAATGAGGGCTGCAGGCTCCTTCCCTGGGGATTCGGGCAGCTCCAGGGACTACAAGCCACAGCTTCAGGAAGGCCATGGGGCCTGGGAGGAACCTGCCCTCTGGTGGCCTGAGCGGCTGCACATTGCTGGGGGTCTGGTGCCTGGGAACATCAGAACTGCTCTGGAAAGGACAACTTGGGATGAGTCCCAAGAACCTACTGGTTCTGCTCCTGACAAGATCATACAATCAGGAAGCTGGGCATCGTGGCTCACACCTGTGGTCCCAGCTACTACTCTATAGGTGGATGTGGGAGGATCGCTGGAGCCCAGGAGTTCAAGGCTGCAGTGAGCTGTGATGGCCCCACTGCAGTCCATCCTGGTGACAGAATAGACCTCATTTCTAAAATGAAATAAATCAGGATGGCACCCTTTTGCCCCTCCTACGTTGCCCTCCTTCAGGTACCTAGTGACTTTCTTCGATTTGCCTCTTGGAAAAGATTGGATAAAGCGGTTCATGTGAGCTGGAGATGGCTAATAAGGCTTCACATTTCTTCCTAGGGATGTCACTTTAAAGAGAAAGATTGAAGCTCTGAATGGCAATGTCCAGCCTTGCGGAGCTGGTTGAGGAAGGGGGCTTTCAAGACAGGAGTCTTTCCCTCACCTCTGGAATAAACCTCAGCCTCTATCTATTTGAGCACTGGGCTGGGGACCTGGAAGTGGGGCTGTGGTGGGTCGGGGGTACCTGCGTTCCCTGCCTTTTTTACAATGTCCCTTCTCTCTCAGTCCCTCCAGGTTTTACCCTGTGTCCCGCAGGGTCCCTGAGTACTATGGCCCCTACGCCTCCCAATACCCTGATGATTACCAGTACTACCCACCAGGGGTGCGGCCAGACAGCATCTGCTCCATGCCGGCCTACGATCGGATCAGCCCACCCTGGGCCATGGAGGACAAGCGCCATGCCTTCCGCAATGGGGGCGGCCCTGCTTACCAGCTGCGCGAGTGGAAGGAGCCCGCCGGCTACGGGCGGCAGGAAGGCACTGTCTGGATCCCCAGCCCCTCCCGGCAGCCAGTCTATTATGATGAGCTGGATGCCGCCTCTAGCTCCCTGCGACGCCTGTCCCTACAGCCCCGCTCCCACTCTGTGCCCCGCTCACCCAGCCAGGGCTCCTACAGCCGTGCCCGCATTTACTCCCCTGTCCGCTCACCCAGTGCCCGCTTTGAGCGGCTGCCACCTCGCAGTGAGGACATCTATGCTGACCCTGCTGCCTATGTGATGAGGCGATCCATCAGCTCCCCCAAGGTGAGCCACCAGCCTGACCTTCCTTCCTCATCCCCTGAGATTCCCCAGAAGCCTAAGACCATCTACTGAGAAGAGGCAGAGATGTGGGAGCATCTGGGCCACAGGGCCACTGGGCTACTGGGCTGTGTGTCCGCAGGACCAGCAGTGCTGCCCAGGGGAGCCCCTGGCCTGTGGTTCTGTCTGTAGGAGAGCTGCCTTGGGGATGGCCTTGCCTCTTGAGTGGGAACACTGCTTTCTGTACATGCCCCCAGGTTGTGCAAGAAACTGTGCTGTCATATAAGAGGGCAGAGAGGGTTCTGTCTTTTCAAATCTTGAGGACCTGGACAGATCCTTGCAAGGGGGGGCTGCTATCTATTTCGGTTTGAGATCTGCTCTGGGACTGAACACAGACACCCCTAACCTCAAGCTTCAGCTGATGGGGAACTCCGTGTCCCAGCCAGACCCCTCACCTCTGCGATCCCTTTCTCTTCCAGTATGATTACCTGGGAGACAGGAGGCCAGTCCCTGCAGGACTGTTCCCCTACAACTACCCACCATCCCCCACGGTCCACGATAAGATGGTACGTCCTCTCTCCCCTCCACTCTCCCCACACCATGCTCCACCAAGGGTGGAGCTAACTGGGGCAGACTCCAGGGACTCTCTGTGCCTAGTGCCTGGCCTGGCTGGTTTTTAGCAGCCTCTGGATACCTCCTCCCTCCCAGCCAGGACTCTAGCCCCAGTATCAAGTTTGGTGCCAGTAACCCCTTCTCTTCTGTGACACAAGCCGTGGAGGAGGGATGAGATCTGGGAGCACGTAATATCCTGGTCACTCTCCTCTCCAGCATGCAGGAGAAGGGGCCTAGGCAGAAAAAGTCAGGCCGGAGCTCCTAACAAGAAGCAAGATCTCCTAAACTTCTTTCCCCTGAAGCATAGTTAATTTGCGTTTGTCCTTTGCCTGGAATGCCACTTTTTGGGAGAGATACAAGCGATATGATTGAGGAAGAAAAAAATTTCCGAATTGCGTCTCCTCCTCTATCTCTGCCTCTTCCTACTCGTGTCTCTCCCTGGAATTTGTTCTCCTGAGAACTTTTGCCACCATCTAGAGATCTAGATGAGGTGCTCCACCTGGGAGGATTGGGGAGGTCCACTGGGACCATCAGGCAGAACCCTTGTCCAGAAAGCCTGTTGCTGACCTGATTCCATAACAGCACCAGGAGGCCAGGGTGGAGGAGTGCTGGGCAGGCTGGAGGCTAGTGCCTCTCTGATTCTCACCCTGCCAGTGTCCAAAGCAGATCAGCCTTGCCCGCAGCAGACACATGCATCTGGAAACAACTGATTTTTCCAGAAAACTGGGAAACAGCCGTTAGCAAGTGCTGCCCAAATTGCTCTGGTGGCACTCACCTTTCCCAGGGAGGCCTAGGCAGACCTAGGAGAGATGGCACTGGGGCCTGCGTGTGCCCCTCCTCTCCCTGGAGTGTCCGGTAGAGAACTACTTTGCCTGCCCACATCCTCCACCCCTCCCTTCCTGAGAACTCCTCAAGGGCAGAGGGAGAAGCCTCTCCGTGTCCTGGTCGCTAACTCTTAACTGCTTTGCTTCTTTTTTATCGTTTTCTTTTGTGTGTTCCTGTTTGTTTGTGTTGCTGTTTGGCCTCTGGGCCTCGGGCTCCGGGTAGGATGAACTTTTAGATCTTCAGTTGCAAAGAAACCTAGAGTATTTGGATCAGCAGGTAGGCAGAGCTGGTGCCCCCGTTACCATCCCACTGCCTTCCTACCACATCCCCACTCCTCCCCACCTCCTCCTCTTCCAGCCATTTGACAACCTTTGTTGGTGCAAGCAGGACACAACAAAGTGGCTTATGTTTTGGTTTGCCCCCCGCGCACCCCTTCTCTTCAAAGCCCTTCAGGACAGCTGGGAGTTTCCTGGGGAAAGAAGCATAATAAGTAGGCACATGAATAATTAATGCCACCTCTTATTTCTCCAGTGCTCAGCTCAGAAGGAACTGCCCCCAGGGGGCAGGTGGGAATTTGCATTTTTGCTGGCGAGGAGGAGGGAGCTCTAGGCTGGGCCTAAAATGCTAGGGATTTAGTTCAACCTGAATCTGGGACATTGTCGGATCATATTTCACAGGTTGCTGCTCAACTCTATAATTGGTAAACTGAGGCCTACAGACCCTCTCTAGGATGATTTTAAAAGCAGTATTCAATCAGTGTATTCGTTAGTTCCTCCAAAAGCCCCTTTGCATACACAGCTCATGCAATCCTGGGAATTCCTTGCAGACAGAGGTAATATCATCAACCCAGTTTTCCAGGTGAGCAAGCTGAAGAGGCAGTGAGCGCTCCAGGAGATGCCAGCGTCGCCTCCTGGTCTCTGCTCCAGGGCTCGAACCCTTTCTTGCCTTTTAAGCTGTGAGACTGAGATTAGACAGGCAAGGGGGTCATTATGCTGGGCATTTATATAAGCACATAATCCTAAGTTCAGATCTGTGCTACAAACCGTGGCCTAGAAGTGCACACTGTCCTGTGGAGGCAGCCTGGGAGGGTGGAAATCACAACGGCTACAATAATGGGAGGCCTCCTCCATGCCCCGTTCTATTCTATGCGCTTTTCAGATCTCTAACTCACTCAGTCTTCATTACAACCCTGCAAGGTGGGTACTGCCATTATCCCCATTTTACAGCTGAGGAAACCAAAGCACAGAGAGGTTGAATAACATGCCGAGATCGCACAGCCAGTGAACAGCCGAACTTGGAATGTGACTCTGAGCTTTTGACCCAGTTTACAGCTAAGGTGTGACAAAGCTGGCGTCAGACCTCATTAGGATGAGTTCATGCTCTTAAAGTTGCAGGAAAAACACGCATTTAAAATCAGATGCTGTAGCTGCAACTGTTGGTTCTTCTAGTCACAAGCCATGTGACCCACCTCCTGTCTCACTGGACCTTCAGGTTGATGTCTCACTTCGATTTTGTAATATGCCTCAGGCACCAGGAAGCACTAGTGTCCACAGTTCAATAAGCAGGGATGGCTCCTATTGCATTCCGGCTCCGGAAGCAGCCCATTGTGTCCACACCATGAGCATTCCGGGCCATGTGAGTATAGATCTCAGGATTCCAATTCGGAGCAGGGCAGGGAAGCCTAGGCTGTTGTTGATGGGAAGCAGGATCTGAGGTGCCTTGTGGGATTGAGGAGCAGGCTCATGCCCGCCTGCCTCCAGGTTCCTAGGCAAGCTGTCCTCCCTGTCACCCTTGTGATTAGCTTTCTACTCCATCCACAAAGCCCATCTGTCCAAGCATTCAAGCAGACAGCAGGGTCCCTTCCTGGGAGCTTTTATCCTCACAGAGGGGCTGGGCCATTAGGCTGGGGGCTTCAGAAATAGCCTTCCAGAGGACTCCCTCATGGATAAAGGGTATTATTCTTTTTTGTGTTTTCTTTTGAGACAGGATCTTACTCTGTTCCCCAGGCTGGAGTACAGTGGCACAATCAGCTCACTGCAAACTCCACCTCCGGGCTCAAGCGATCCTCCCACCTCAGCCTCGTGAGCAGCTAGGACTACAGACAGGTGTGCAACCACCACACCTGGCTAATTAAACAATTTTTTTTTGCAGAAATGGGTGTCCCACTGTGTTGGTCAGCCTGGTCTCAAACTCCCAGCTTCAAGCGATCCTCTCGCCTCTGTCTCTCAAAGTGCTAGGATAATATGCGTAAGCTGCCATACCTGGCCAAGGATAATACTCTTAAAAGGCAGCCTTGTATGATGAGAAGAGTCAGACACTGCTGCTGTGCTTCTCGCTCTGCCATTTACAAGGATTTTTCTTTTTTAAATCTTGGAAATGTCACAGTCTCTCTGGGTCTTTGTTTTCTCAATCATAAAATGGGCATTGTAGAACCTGCCCTTTCCTTTCAACCTCACAGATTTATTGGGAGAATCCAGTGGGAGTGGATACGAGAGCTCTTTGTCAGGCATCGGCAAGAAGTGGGACCACCACTTGTTGCTGTTATTATTTTGTTTTTCCAAAACTTAAAAATATCAATGAGCACTACTTACTGTGTATGAGGCAGGAGGTTAGGTGCTTTCTTACAAAATCTAACATTTTGGAGAGAAAGAAGGTAGCACACAAGAATCCTCCTAGAGGGAAGACCCACCTGGGCTGAAAGATCCCCAAAGCCGCAGCCCAGGTGGGAACAGGCCAGGATGAGAACACTCCTGCTTGCTCCCTCTACTTCTCTAGATCTGCTTGTTGGGGAAAGAATGAGATACCCACAGTTGACTGTGCAGGGATGGCTCCTGGCCCTCAAGGCCCTTTCATTCCAGGACTAAAGATGTAGAAAATCAGTTCCTCAGAAAGCCTATTGAAATGCTGCAGACTCAGGTTCACTGATGTTCTCACGGTGTTCACTGATATCTCACGGATACCACGGTGTATCCACTGGGAGCTCCACACCCTGTAGTCCCTCTTAGCAGCAGATCCTAGTGCTTGGGGGAGAGGAAATACCGGGGTGGTGGGTGCCCTTGCCCAGCCTACAACATGTAGAAGCAAGGCTGCATTCAGGCTGTTGCCTAAAAGGGGTAAGAGGAAGAAAGGACAGTGTGGGTACAACTGAGATTGGAGATAATGGAATAAACACAGGGGACCCTCTGAACGGGAGCCCCAGATAATCTTCCCTAATGTGGCTCATTCCTCCCTTCCTCATTCACTTTCTCTCCCAGAAAGCTTTCCCTGCACAACTCCCTCTGTCTTCTACTGCCTTCCCCTGTAGAGCAATGGAGTTAAAGGGACACAGCCAAGGACATTCCCTGATATTTTCCCTTTTTGGTTCTTTCCCATTGAAACCAGTGGGGTAAATGACGGCATTTCTGGTTGATCTGGTTGGCTCACCCTTTCTCCCACCCCTCCTTTCTCTTCCTCTTCCTCTTCATCCACTCCCTTTTCCCATTTCTCTCTTTTTTTTTTAAATTGGCAAATAGTCTTTCCACTTCCATGTTCCTAAAGACTCTTGAAATAGAAAGAACGTGTTGGAGAGCCCGGTGTCCCTTTAACGTGGCTCGCTTGTTTTGGCCTCCTCGTTTGCTCCCTAGCATCATCTGAGATCATCATGGATGCTGCCAGCCCAGCTCTGGAAACCGTGTTTAGCACTTTCTGCACTAGAGCCGAGGGTGGGCAGGGACAGGGAGAGGGGCCGGGCCTCTGTATCTGTGGTGGCCCATCCAAAGAGCAGGTTCTAGAGTTTCTTTTTTGGTTGTTTCACTTAGTTCAAGTTTGGGGCGAGCAGCCTTCCAACTGCCTCTGTGGTCTTTGTCCAAAGTAGTGTGAGAAATGAGATCAGGGCAGGGAAATGACAACCGTAGCCAATGTGGACAGGACCCACAACAGCCAGTCACCCTGGGGAAGGGTCACCGGGCAGGGCCTCTGCAGTGCCTCCAGCAAGGGCCCAGTGGCCTCCCGGACCATTCTGTGGCCTTTCTGCAAGGATCACTTTAGTGCTGGTCCTGAAACAGAGGTCACGAGGGGTGAGGGCAAGCCCAGGGTACTGGGAGAGCTGCCCTCCCCTGTTTCCTGGGAAACAAGCACAGGTGGGTGAAGGGGAGATACTGACACGTGGGTCAGAGTGTGAATAGTTCGTTCCTTCCTCTGCTGCAGATGAGTGAGAGCGAGACTCTCATCAGTATGGTGAACCGCATGGTGGAAAACTCCTCCCCCAGGTCCCAACTCTTCATGCAAGTAAGACCTCTGCCTGGCAGCATGGTCCCTGCCAATGCCATTTCAGCTGCTTTTGCATGGTTGAGTCACCCATCTAGGATGAGGCTCACGCCACCCAACCTGCTCATCTGCCTGGAGACAGGCTTGGCCTGGTCTTCCTTCCCTAATTCCACTATGTCACCTCCATTCTTCACTTTCATGGGTAAACCCAAGGCCCATTTCCCAAACCATCAAAATAGCCAGCACCAACATCTCATGCCATGCTGGGGATCACAACTCTGCTCCTTAGTGTTCTGATTTCGATTTCATATTTGTAATATCTTGACAGACATCGCTGGGGTTAAAGGCATGATGGGCGTAATGGAATCATCTAATATCAAAGGTTTATAGAATGTGCTGTGGTCATCAAATGTGGTGTCAAGGCTAGGTAGCATTTGCTGGACCCAGAGACCCTTGTGAATTCTTGCCAATTTTTGTTTAGACACAAGCCCTGTGATTGGCGTTCAATCTACTAGAGCAACAGTTTTCAACTGTTCCCAATGCTCATTCCTACCATTCTCCTATTTCCTATTCCCACAGACAGCCATGAATTCACTGATGTCCTCATGGTGGTTACTGACAAGCCATTGGGAGTAACACACTCTGCAGTCCCTCTTAGCAGATCCTAGTGCTTGGGGGAGAGGAAATACAGAGCGTGACTCAAGCAGAGTTCTGATCTCTCCAGAGTCAGCCTAGGACAACTGGGATGGGGTTAGGCCAGGCCATCCCAGGCGTCCAGCCAGGGGATGAAGAATGAGGTCCCTGAAACAGAAGCCACCAGAGGTGATGGACCACGGTCTCTGGCAGGAGCAGAGCAGGAATGTGATGTCAGCCTCCTATCCCTGCGAACCCTCATCCTACCCCTGCTGCAGTAACCGGCCTCATGTTTCTGCAGGTCCCTCCATATCCAGAAGTGTTCCGGGACAGCCTCCACACCTACAAGTTAAACGAGCAAGACACAGATGTAAGAGCAGAGCTCCCTGCTCCCTCCCTCCCCTCCAGCCTCCTGCTGCTATCCTTTGTGGGGGCTCTCTCTCCATCCATCTCTCTTCTTCTGGTGGCTCTTCCTACCTTTGATTCATGTCTTCTCTCACCACAAGATTCCGCCTGCCTCCTCCTCATCCCCCTTCTTTTCTGATCTACCACCTACTCACCCTTCCCTCCCATGGTGGCTGTATCCGTTTCTCCACTGAGCGCTCTGCCCTCTTGCCTACAGCAGTGGGATCTGCTTGTAACGGGAATGCAGACTTTGTTGGGGGTTAGATCAGTCCACTCTGCCCAGCATGGTATTAGTCCCTACAGTTGACTAGAAAGGAGAATACAGCTCTGCCCCTGCCCTCAGGGAGCTTCAGGGTAGTGGGAGGCGCCAGGTAGCAGCAGGAGGTGGTAACACGTATTCACCTGGTAAAGGGGAGCCCCAATAGGTTCTGCCAGGGGCAGGGAAGTAAGGCCAGGTGGGCTGAAGTTCAGGGACAAAACAAGTAGCACTGAGTTGGGCCTTGAAGTTAAAAGGCCCAGAGGGTAAAATCTGACTCAGCAGCAAGGAGCAAAGCAGGTATTTGAGGAATGGCATAAATGAAGGTGTGGACTAGGAAAGCATGAGCCCTCCTTCTGGCCTCACCCGTCTGCTCCCCATCACCATGGGCCCTACTTGGGTAGTGGATCTGCCCAGTGAGACTGGGAGAAGTTCCTTCCTGACAGGACTAGACCTCAGACAGAGGCTCAGCCATCCTGAGACTTTGGAGGGAGGAGGAAGAACAGGATCTTGAGAGGGAAGGGAGAAGCTTCTGTGGGGCTGAGGGACAGTTTCTATTACCCACTGCTTTTCTAAGACTGCTTGTTCTGACACCCAGCCTAGGAAATGAGGTCATATCATCTCCCCAGTCCTTTGTGAATTTTGACCCTTGGAAGGACAGGGGTGTCAGAGTTTAACACGGCTCTCAGCCCTCTCGACCCAACTCACTTCCTCCCAAGATGAAGATCCGTCTTCTTCTTAGGAGCCACCAAGGTCTAGGTGAAGGTCCAGGGTTCCTCAGCAGGGGAAAGGAGGACATATCCAGAGGCCAGGCCCTGTAACCCAACTCCCAGGTTTCCATCAAACTATGTCCTTCATCCCCTTCTTTCTCCCTCTCCATCCCCACTCTCTGGGCCCCTAGAAGCTGCTGGGAAAATTGTGTGAGCAGAACAAGGTGGTGAGGGAGCAGGACCGGCTGGTGCAGCAGCTCCGAGCTGAGAAGGTGAGAAGCTGGGGGTGGCTTTAAGCTGGGGTGCATGGGCGGGGCTGGCTTGGAGAAGGCTGTGGGCTGCTGTCTCCATCCTGATGAAGCCGACAAAGCAAGGACAGCCTCCACTCAGCTCCCTGGTGAGCCTCTAAGGGCTCGGGCCTCTGCTCTTCCATCCCAGAGAGGAGCTGTCAGGGCTGCCCATGCCATTCCCTTGCCTTTCTTCAGGAGAGCCTGGAAAGTGCCTTGATGGGGACCCACCAGGAGCTGGAGATGTTTGGGAGCCAGCCCACCTACCCAGAGAAGCTTCTGCACAAAAAGGAGTCGCTGCAGAACCAGCTCATCAACATCCGCGTGGAGCTGTCTCAGGCGACCACGGTAACTGGGGCACAGGGTTTGTGTACCCATCCCCCAATTGGCACTAGACAGGAGGGCCACCACCTCCCAGCTTGTGCTGTCCTAGTCCAGTTGTCCTCAGAGGACAAGAGCAGGGTACTCCCGTGCAGAGGAGCATAAACAAAAACCTCATCACTGCCTTGCAAATAAACAGCACGTCAGCCAGCCTGCTCATTCCAAGATCCACTGAGGAAATGAGCTTATTTCCCACAAACTGCCTGTACCAGGATTTCTTTGGGACAGCGTGAAGTTGTGAGTCACTTATTTCCTTGGCTACGCTAACACCTCTGCTGCCCACTTCTGTCTTCTCCCTTGGAGATGCAAAGCACTGGCAAAAAGGCTGCTGCCCTGGTCACTGCCTCCCAGTGGGTTAGGGCAGACCTTCCAGCACAGACTGCTTGAGAATGGCTCCAGGAAGCAGCAGCAAAAGCCCCGCAAAAGCATGGCCTGGAAAGGAGGAAGCTCTCTAACCTCTGGAGAACACATGTCCTCCCTCAGGCTCTCTTCTCTTTGCCCTCCACTTTAAAATAATAATAATAAATTATTATTATTTTTAAGGACAGGGTCTCACTCTGTTACCCACAGTGGAGTGCAGTGGCGCAAACACAGCTCACTGCAATCTCGACCTCCAGGTCTCAAGTGATCCTCCTGCCCAGCCCCCAAGTAGCTAGGACTATAGGGATGCACCACCATGCCCAGCTAACTTTTGTAATTTGTAGAGATGGGGTCTTGTGTCTCCCAGCTATGCCCTCCACTTTCTATTCCCTAATCTGGGGAGAATAGGAGGATATGAAGGTGATATTATCCCCTTTTCATTTTCCCTTTATCTCAGTTCGTAGTGGGATGGGTTGTTACATCTCTTGTAAAGCTAGTGTTTGGCTGTCATCAGAATGCCTCAGACTGGCACCCCTCTCCTTCAGTCCCTCCATGCCCTTCTCCCCAGATTTTCACGCCTCTGATATCCTGGCTCCAGGGTACCAGAGGTGTGAAAATCTGTTACAGAATAAGGAGGAATGCTTTGGTGATGAACACCTCTTCCCTTGCAGGCCCTGACGAACAGCACCATGGAGTATGAGCACCTGGAGTCTGAGGTCTCTGCTCTGCATGATGACCTCTGGGAGCAGCTCAATTTGGACACCCAGGTGAAGAAGGGTCCCTAAGCCGGCAGGGGTTGGGTTGTGACTAAAGATGAGGATTCGGCCTCGAGACAAAAGCAAAGGCTCAGGCCATCGATACAGACTGTACGTTTCAGACTGAAGATAATGGGACACGTTAGTTTCATCTCATAATGGGAGGAGCTAAAGTGAAGCTTGGGAGACTTCAGTTAGATACAAGGTGTTTTATGACTGAAAGGATTTTTTTTTCTCTTGGGATGGGGTCTTGCTCTGTCGTCCAGGTTGGAGTGCAGTGGCACAATCACAGTTCACTGCAGCCTTGACTGCCCTGGGCTCAAGCGATCTTCCCACCTCAGCCTACTGAGTAGCTAGGACCACAGTCATGAACCATCATGCCCTGCTAATTTTTAAATTTTTCATAGAGACAGGGTCTCCCTCTGTTGGCCGGGCTGGTCTCAAACTCCTGAGTTCAGGTGATCCTCCTACCTTAGCCTTGCAAAGTGCTGGGATTGCAGGCATGAGCCACCATGCCCAGCAGTATTTAAAAACAGCATAAATAGCTCAGGCTTTAGAAGAGTGGGTGGTGCAGGAGCAATCTGCTCAGGAATGTTTAGACAGAAAAGAGGCTTTTCTTCCTGAGATGGTTTAGAAACCATCTTCTGAGAGGCAGGAGGATGGACCTGATGATCTTGGGGAGTTCTTATTCTTTCCTTTCCTCTGTCACTTCTTCACCCAGGCCCTGCCTCTTTTCTAGCTAGGTTGTAAGCCCTATCTTTCTGATGCACTTAACACCCTGTTTCCCCCATTTTCTTCTGTTTCCTTCATGGTAATGCCACTCACCTGGTAGGTAGGGTGAAGTGAAGACTCGCCTGGTCCAGAGGGCTCAAATACCACCACGTTCCGTGGCCAAGCCTCACTTGAAACAGACATTTTAGGAGCGGGGATAGGGTTGTGGTCAAGAGCACCAACTTTTGAGTCCAAATAGACCCATATTTAGATGATGGTGATGCTGCTTACTCAATAAATGGCCTTGGGTGTGAGTCTCTTCATCTCTGAAAAGGGGACAGCTGCTGCCCTTCCCTCCTAGAGTCGAGCAGCCAAAATAAGTTAGCGCTGTATGCGCAAAGCACTTACCACAGTGCCTGGTGCTGAGGGATGCTAAATAAATGGAAGCTCTTACGTTTCAGAGTGTCAAGTGTAATTAAATTCACGACTCTTTAGGTATACGCTGGAAGTGGGTGTTAGAAAAGGGCTGTCTGGATGTGAAGAAAAGCAGTGAAATGGAAGTTCTTGCCCCATGAAAAACAGGATATACCATAAAGTGTTTACTTAGATGGGCATTCACTCTAAGACCACCTGGTCCCCCCGGGGGAACTCAGAAGGGTGGGTCCTCAGTCTTGGTTCGGAGACTCAGTCAATTCTGGGGTGCATCTCCTAGAGGCTGAAGAGCAGAGGCTGTCCATGAGAAAGATGACTTCTGGAGGGGTGTGTGTGTGTGTGTGTGTGTGTGTGTGTGTGTGTGTGTACAGGGCGTCTGTCTCCTGCTGGCCCAAAGGAATGTGGGTTCCAAGAGGCCTGGGCGGAAGGAGAGGGCGGGACACTCATCATGGCCATTCCCTTTGACTGTCTGAGTGGCTGCTTCAGAATGAGGTGCTGAACCGGCAAATCCAAAAGGAGATCTGGAGGATCCAGGACGTGATGGAGGGGCTGAGGAAGAACAACCCCTCCCGGGGCACAGACACTGCCAAGCACAGAGGTGGGTGCCTCCTGGGCTGCTTGCCTCACCAGGAGTGCTCCAGTATTTCTGGCCTCCATCCCACACCTGCCAGCTCACACTGTGTTCAGAGCCAGGCAGGGCCTTCTTGGGATTCCAGAATCTTCCCCTGGGTTCTAGGGTGGTAGGTAGGGCTCTCCGCTCCCTGCCCCAGAATAGACCAAGTAGACAACTCAGAGACACTGTTGACCCTGATACTCTAGAGTCCTCTCCAAAAAAGGTCAAAAGCACCTGAGCCTCCCCAGCCCCCAAGCACATGGGCCCACTGGTGACCTGTGAACCCTACCTTAGAGTTTTCCTTGAGCCCTGCGACCTCAGGCTGGCTTTCCTTGACACCTCAGGGACAACAGTGTCATTTCCATCTACCATCTTCCCCACGGCAGCACAACTCTCAACAGCCAGCCTGTGGCCCCAGAACCTGTAATGAGTCCCTTCAGCAGGCCCAGGTGGCTCTGAGAGACTAAGTCTGCCCTTCCGCATCCCTGGGTCTGGTTTTTCCCCCTACCTCCACTCACAGTGTCTGTCTACCCAGCAGGCCACACACTCCTCCATCGCTCACTCTCCCCTTCTGTTTCCCCCAAGGAGGACTTGGCCCCTCAGCCACCTACAGCTCCAATAGCCCGGCCAGCCCCCTCAGCTCTGCCAGCCTCACCAGCCCCCTCAGCCCCTTTTCACTGGTGTCGGGCTCTCAGGGGTCCCCCACCAAGCCTGGTTCCAACGAGGTAAGCTGAGAAATGGAGTAGAAGGTAGGTGGGGGAAGGAGGACTGGATCCTCATCTGTCTGAAACTATACAACTTCTGTGCCCATCTCTTCCCCACAGGCCTCCAGCCCTAGTGCTTGAGCTCTTTGTCTAAGGAGGTCATTCTCACCCCTGTTTTATGAACTCCCCTCCAGGTTTCCCCTTCACCTGTTCTTATCTCCATCTGTCATCTTTAGCTCCCTTTCAGCGAAACCTGTTCCTGGGCACCAGGTTGGATAGCAGACAGCATGCATTTCATAGGAATTTAAATCCAGGATGATGCCGGGATAGCGAGAGGATTGAGGGTCCGTGTGGGGAGCAGTTTCCTAGTCAGCAAGTGTTTTCTGGGACTCGACTTTGGGCATGGGGTGCCATGAGGCCGTCTTAGAAAGATACACTCAGGGAGCCCAGCATCGCATGGACTAAGACCGATTTGTAGGAACATGATGGTGTATGTCTCAATATTGAGCCACATGGCTCAGACTAAATGCCCTGATGTTCCATCAGAGGGTGGAGCCTAAACCAGGCTGTGGAGCAGCAAGACAGGGAGAGGAACAAGGGAAAGGCATTCTAGGCAGGAGAGTGGGTAAAAGCAAAGGGGTGGGAAAGGAGCTGCCTGGCATGGGGGTGAGGCAATGAGAGAGCTTTGGGAAAACCTGGGGAGCAGTGGGAAGTGGTAGACAGGTAGGGGCTGGGTCAAGGAGGGCCTTAAAGGTTGGGCAGAGAGTTAGCTCCAGAGCTGGCACTCTCTGCAGGCCATGGTGGGAATGCATTTGTCCCAGGGGCCTGCCCAGGTCTCCAGCGATGTTGTTGTCTGCCTCCTGCTAACGCTCTTTTCTCCTGCTCTCACAGTGGCTGCTCTTGTTCCTCCTAATGCTCTGGCTTCTGTCTGCCTCAGGAACCTGGCCCGCCTCGGCCTCCCCTCCCCAAAGCCTACGTCCCCCTGGAGTCTCCTCCAGCCGTCCCTCCACTCCCTAGCGAGAGCCGCTTCTGGCCCTACCCCAGCTCCCCTTCCTGGCATCGCAGTGGCGAGACAGCCAGGGGGCAGGTACCCAGCACCCTTGGGTCCTGGAGGGTGGGGTAGGGGACAAGGGGCAGAGGGCTAGGTGAGGGGTCAAGGCAGGGCACTGGAGTCATTTCCCCATTAATAGTCCCAAAGCTTGGTTTCTACAGTGCCCCTGCCCAGCTGGACTCTGGGATAAGGAAAGGATAGTCGACACCATCACACAGGCCATCTTTCTGTGCCTTTTTGCTTTCTGTAGGTAATGGGGATGTGAGTTACTGTCTGCCCCACCCCCAGACTCATGCGCAGCCAGCGTTATGCCCCACTCCCTACCAACATGACCAGCCAATGGAAACTGAGTGACACTCCTACCAGTGCCAATCCAATCCCTTCCTGTGCCCATCTCAGGCCCCACTCCGCCCATGCTCTCTCTCTGCCTCCACCTTGTATTGTATCCTCTTTGGGTTTCATGAGTCCCTGGAACATAAGGATACAGGCCCTTTTTCTGGCTCGTTCTCTCACCTGCATTCCTAGCCAAGATCCAGGAGATATGCAGTTAGGCTTGGAAGAGGTTGTATGGTGAGTAGAAAGAGTCCTGCGCCTAAAATTGGAAAACACATGTGCTCATCTAGGTGTAGCTGTGTGTAATTTGCATAACCCTTGAGCGTTCGCCTGCTGAGATTTGCAGAGCAGGTAATGTTACCTGTATTTGACAGATGAAGAAAGGGGACCTCTGCTCTCTAGTTAGGCTAGAACTGGAGTTGCTGACCTTTAGCCTGGTCTTCTTTCTGTAGTCTCCTCACTGAGGCTTAGATTCTTCAACTGTACCACAAGCAGAGGGGGCTCAGATGATGGCTGAGGCCTCTTCTAGTCTCCTGACTGTGTGAGCCCACACACTAAGTGCCCTTTTCATTTCCCTAAAATTCTGACACCAAGGCCCGCCTGGTTCTGTTTGCTTATGTCTCTGGTAGGATTCTCTACAGGATCCTCAGAGACCCCCTCCACCCCACACTGGCCATTCCTTGACTCTGGCTCACAGCAAGTGTGTGGTTCTTAGTGCCAGCCAAGATAACTGGTCAGGTTGGGGGGCCTCTTAGAGGCCATGAGCTCTCACTCCCCAAAATGGCCCGTCATTGGCCAGCCTTAAAGTACATGGGTGGGAAGCTCCAGTGCATCCCTGTCCGACCCCCAGGTGGCACACAGAATTTCCTTGTTCCCTTTATCTTCAAGGGTTTGAGCTTCAACTACTACAAAACAAAGAAACATCACTGGCGGCCATGCTAACATCAACTGTCTTCTCACCCTTTCTCCCCAGCCCAAGGCAAACTATGAACAAAGCAAGAAAGACCCCCACCAGACATCACCCCTGGACACCTCCAGAGACATCAGCCTTGTGCCCACCAGGCAAGAGGTAGAGGCAGAGAAGCAGGCAGCTCTCAACAAAGGTATTTTCTGTCTCATCTTCCTCTAGAAGTAAGGCAAGGTTGCTCAGGGAGGAGCCCTGGATGCTCATTCACACCCAAAGCCTGGTGCCCCACCCTGGGCTTTTTAATCTCAGTGGAGAATGGGGCTGAGCCTGTCTCTGAAAAGCTGGCTTCCTGCTCTCCTGTGCTCCACGAGGCCCACTGGTTACTCTGTCTTTCTGCAGTTGGCATTGTGCCCCCTCGGACAAAATCACCCACAGATGATGAGGTGACCCCATCAGCGGTGGTGAGGAGGAATGCCCATGGACTCACCAACGGACTGTCCTCCCAGGTGGGTATCTCTGAGAGCTCTTGCAGGCCTGAGCTGGGCTGCGAGCCCCAGGGACTGTGTGTGTCCACACATCTGCCTCTGCTGTGCAAGAAACTCAGGGCTGGAGAGGAAGGTGGAACATGTGGGAGGAGGGGCAAGAGCCCCACTGGAGGAGGAGCTTCCCTGCAGGGAGATGTGTCAGGGATGAGGGAGATACGCTGTATTAGTTAGGGTTCTCTAGAGGGACAGAACTAATAGGATACGTGTGTGTGTGTATGTATCTGTAAATAAAGGGGAGTTTATTAAGTATTAACTTATATAATCACAAGGTCCTATAATAGGCTGTCTGCAAGCTGAGGAGCAAGGAGAGCCAGTCTGCGTCCCAAAACTGTAGAACTTGGAGTCCAGTGTTGGAGGGCAGGAAGCATCCAGCATAGGAGAAAGATGTAGGCTGGGAGGTTAGGCCCATCTCTCCTTTTCATGATTTTTTGCCTTCTTTGTATTCACTGGCAGCTGATTAGATTGTGCCCACCAGAGTAAAGGTGAATCTGCCTTCCCAGTCCCCCAATTCAAGTGTTGAGTCGCCTTTGGCAACACCCTCACAGACACACTCAGGATCAATACTTTGTGTCCTTCAATCCAATCAAGCTGGCACTCAGCATTAACCATCACAAGTCCACCCCTTGTCAACTTGGGCCTATATACCTCTCCTGAGATCATACGTAATCTTCAAATAAAGACAATGATAATGTCATAATTACACCTAGCATAATACAACTATCCTTCCTACAATGGGAAATGCACCAGTCCCCAACACAAATACTATTGCATAAAGTTAACAATGCCCAAACGCTGATGTGAGGTTAACAAATCCTATGTCACATGACAAAGGAAAAGGAAATGAAATAAAGATATTTCCTTAGCACAAGTGTATACATGCACAAACATATTTTTAGCAAAAGAAGGAGGAAACACCCATGACCCTTACAGTCTCTGTCTCTGTAGCTGGTCACGTGGCCACAGCTGGTATTAATGACTACCTTCTTCTGCCACCCATTGTGTATTCCCTCTGCCTTCAGCAAGCACCTCAGCAGGTCATGGTGTTTTTGCTAGTGGAGTAACCCAAACCTTCATTCCTGAAGGATCTGGGCCATTTGCAGTCCTGACTGGATTGGGCTATGGTAGTTTCCCATTGACTTTAATCACAGGGCATGGTAATACTAAGAGATGCCCAAATGGATCTCCTGTATTCCATGAATATGCTTCCTTACCTCCGTTGTGGAGTGGTAGACTGATTTCATCTTGATAGTCCAGGTCAGCCACCCCAGCCAACACTGTAACTCTCTTCTTAGCCTGTTGGTTTAAAGTTAGGAGGAGCCCAAAGTGTCCAGGTGGCAACCTTAACTTCCAGCTTAATTGAATTGCTGTTGTGTCTCCTGGTGACAGCATTCCTTCTTCTGGAACTAAGACCTCTAGGCCAGCAGAACATATTGTCGAGGGAATAGAAAGGAAAACCTTTGCTAGTGGATCACTAGCGGTGTTGATGAGTGGTACCACTTCCACTTCCACCCCTTGATCCCTGGACCCATAAATCCTGGCTATGGGAGAAAGAGTACCATATATTGGATGCTGCTAATTCAGAGCATACACAGCCTTCTGGAGAACTTTGCCCCAGCCCTGCAAAGTATTGCCACCTAGCTGGTGTTGTAATTGTGACTTCAAAAGGCCATTCCACTGTTCTGTCAATCCAGCTGCTTCAGGATGATTGGGAACATAGTAAGACCAGTGAATTCCATGAGCACGAGCTCACTGCCACACTTCTTTAGCGGCGAAATGAATGCCTTGGTCAGAGGCAATGCTGTGTGGAATACCATGACGGTGGATAAGGCATTCCGTGAGTCCATGGATGGTAGTCTTGGCAGAAACATTGTGTGCAGGATAGGCAAACCCGTATCTGGAGTGAGTGTCTCTTCCAGTGAGATCAAACCTCTGTCCTTTCCATGATGGAAGAGGTCCAACATAATCAACCTGCCATCAGGTAGCTGGCCGATCACCCTGAGGAATGGAGCCATATCGAGGGCTCAATGTTGGTACCAGGTACCAGGAGATGTGTTCATTTGCTCAAGCAATGAAACCACATCTGGTACAGGCAGCTGCAGTTGGAGTCACCACTTGATTAAGCTTATGATAATCCATTGCCATTCTCCGAGATCCACGTGTCTTCTGCACAGGCCAAATGGGAGAGTTGAACGGGGATGTGGTGGGAATCACCACCCCTGCATCTTTCAAGTCCTTCATTGTGGCACTAATTGCCCCAGTCCCTCCAGGGATGCGATATTGTTTCTGATTTACTATGTTTATAGGTAGAGGCAGCTCTAATGTCTTGCATTTGGCCCTTCCCATCGTAATAGCCATCACCCTATCAGCCAGGGAGCCAACGAGGGGGTTCTGCCAGTAGCTAAGTATGTCTGTGCCAATTATACATTCTTGCATTGGGGAAATGACCACAGGATAAGTCTGGGGACCCACTGTAAGTTGGTCCTGAGCTAAAACTCCATTAATTACCTGACCTCCATAAGCCCCTACTTTAACTGGAGGACCATAGTGATGTTTTGAGTCCCCTGGAATCAACATCAGCTCAGAGCCATTGTCCAGTAGTCCCCAAAATGTCTGATCATTTCCCTCTCCCCATTGCACAGTTACCCTGGTAAAAGGCCAGAGGTCTCCTTGGGGAAGGATGTAAAAAGATTCACTGCATAAATTGTTGGTAATGTATTAGGCTCCTTCCTCAAGAGGACCCAGCCTCCCCTTCATTCAAGGGGTTCTGCATCTGTAAACTGGCTCAAATCTGGAAATAGAGAGGTTGTCCATTCTCTGTTTTTATAATTCAAATTAGTCTTTTGTTCATTTGACTTAGAAGTTTTCTACTTGTATAAATTAAGTAGGAATACAGTAGGGTTCCTATCAATTTCACTTCTAGGAACACCGTGATTAGCCACTGCCAGAGCTCTACATGAGTCATACTATTCTGGTGCCTTTTGCCTCTGCTGTACATTGCAGTAGCTACACTCACCTTACCTTTGACAGTTGAGTGCTGCCACTTGACCCCTGCCACCTTGAGTTCCATTATTCCCATTGTATTTAGTATTTAAATTTTGTAGTTGAGTGACTGTGGTTCCCACCATTAGATCTGAAATGCAGAGAAGAGCAATTCCAGGTCTCTTCAAAGATGCAGGTGCTGCTCTCACAAATCTATTTTGCAAGGCATTGGTCAATGGTATATCTTCTGAACCCTCCCAGCTGGAGTGGGTAGGTCTAAAGTCACTAATCCATTCCACCATCTCAATCACCCTGAGCCTTTGGATCCCTTCATCTACATTAAACCAAGGGAGATCAGGCTTTTCCAGCTTGCTCACAGTGGGCTATCTTTTAATCCATATGTCAGCTAACCAAGCAAATAAACTATTAGAATATTTTTTTAACTCCCTGAGATGCAACATTAAATGCAGAGTCCCTCCTTAGTGGGCCCAAATCAATAAATTCAGCCTAATCCAACTCTGTGTTCCTTCCACCATTATCCCACACCCTTAATATCCATTCCCATTCCTGTTCTCCAGATTTCTGTTTATATAAATTAGAGAACTCTAACAGTGTTTTTGAGTGTTGTGTACCTCCTCATGGGTCATACTCTCAACCTCACCTCTAGGGGCCCACCAGGACTTAGTCTAGTTATAGGTCTAGAAGCACACAGAGGTGCTGTGGGTACCTTCTAAGGAGAATCAACATTATCTTGCCTGGCAACTGCTTCTGGGGAGGCCATCACTGTGGCCTCAGGCAGCACAGGGTTTACCTCCTCAGAAAAGAGTGGAAAGGCTGATGGCAGCATGGGCTGGGGAGGGGATGTTGCCACTGTTGGGATTAAAAAACTGTTCCTTCTGGCAAAAAAGGTTCATAAGAGTTTACAAACTCAATGTCCCCAGCTTCATCAGGGTCCTCCTACATGTCCCCATTCCAAGTTTCAGAGTCCCATTCTTTTCCAATCAATGCCCTCACTTTAACAGTAGACACCTGGCCAGGCTGTGCATGCATCGTTCATTGCAGGTCAGCCATTTGCATGATAAAAGCTTGTGTCTGTTTTTATGCAATTTCAGCTCTTTCTCCACAGGAGATAAGACTCTAAGTCAGGACAGTCTTAGCAGATTTGAGGCTCAGTATCTGCTTCTGAAGCTGGGAGACAGAGTCCCTGAGGTCATCATTTTCTTTCATCACTTTGTCCACTGAACTTAGGAACAACCAGCCAGCTTCACTATGCTCCTTGCTTCACCACATATGGTCAAAGGTATTATGTATAGAGTCAGTAAACTTGCCTCTCAACGAGTGGTGAATCAGGAGTGTCAAATGCACTTATTTGCATAACTCTCTAAACGGTTCATGCCAATGACTATCAGTGTTCTCCATACTATTAGAAGTAGAGTCCTTAGCATTTTTACGTCTAATCATATTAAGCAGCCAACTCCAGAAACCCCAAAGCCAATGAACTCCATCCTTAATACCAAAATCTGTATTAGTTAGGGTTCTCTAGAGGGACAGAACCAATAGGATATATATATAAAGGGGAGTTTATTAAGTATTAACTTATGTGATCACAAGGTCCCCACAATAGGCCATTTGCAAGCTATGGAACAAGAAGAGTCAGTCTGAGTCTCAAAACTAAGGAACCTAGAGTCTGATGTTCAAGGGCAGGGAGCATCCGGCACAGGAGAAAGATGTAGGCTGGGAGGCCTCTCCTTTTCATGGTTTTCTGCCTACTTTATATTCGCTGGCAGCTGATTGGATTGTGCCCACCAGATTAAGATTGGATCTGCTTTCCCCAGTTCACTGACTCAAATGCTAATCCTTTTTGGTAATATCCTCACAGACACACCCAGGATCAATACTATATATCCTTCAATCCAGTCAAGTTGACTCAAGTATGAACCATCACATATGCATGAAATATAAAAGAAGGCTGGGCTCGATGG